GTGTGTGTGTGTGTGTGTGTGTGTGTGTGTGTGTGTGTGTGTGTGTGAGATAAATAAACGGACGAAAGGCAAGGTTTTGATGTCGTCCGGATTACAACAAGCCCATCTGAAGGACAAGCGATGCTTGATCTTGAGCTTTGTGTTTCCTAGAACATTGGCTTGAATTCCCTTGATTCTTGCCCCCTACCTTCACCCCTAACCTGTCTCTCTCACACACACACACATTACACCCTCTGATCTTATCCGAAAGGAGGCTCTATCTCTTCATCCAAACCACGTTTTCAGCAACAGCAGCACGACAGGTTTTGATGGTAAATTGAATTAGTTGAGTTAAGTCAGTCGATTCCTCTAACACACACACACACACACACACAATAGGCTGATTAATAGCCCTACATTAAAGCAGAGGAGCATCAAGGCTGAGCAGCTGTGGTTCTGTGACTTAATCAAACTCTCAGATACTTTGAAATAGACCCTCAAGGACACATTATGGTTGTCCAGAATGGATTGAGAAAAGCACAATTTGTCATAAAGAAGCTTCTGCATGTTTATTCCTTTTTCAAACATTTTCCAATATATCACCAAACAAGTTTAGTATTAAGGTGGACTGTGGACTACTTGGGGAAACCGTCAAACTAAAAGGAGGAAGTATGTGTCCTCCTCAAACTTCTTCCGTGTTTAGTAAGTATTTGTGTTGTAAAATCTGATTCGCCTGCTTTTCTGTTTGTCTTTGCGTTGAGTTTGAATCAAAGACGGGGATCTTGAATATAATGCAAAACACATTCATGACTTGTCTTTTGGTTTAAGCACCTTTCTCTATCACATCTGATCTGTTAATCTGTTTAAATGTTTACCTGCGTTTGTTATAGGATTGGAGTCAGCGATGCTGGTGATGCTTACTCCACAGAAGCCCTTTATCGGGTGCCTTGAGCCTCAGTGAGCTGCAAGTGTTCTACTGGTTCAGACTAATGATGGTTAATGAGGAAGTTGGCAGCATTGTAATATCTGTCTGTAGCTTTGCCAAGGCTGAGGTGAGCGGTTCACACTGAGGACAGATGCTTCAAATTTAAATCAAGACACGTTCAGAGCTGTTTGTGCTCATTTTCTGTCCGACTTCCGTTTTATCAAGTTTATATGCAGGAATTCAATGTGAGGGTCAGACATCAAATGAGACCTAGAACAGAAAAGTAGTTAAGAAGTTGACTTTTTTTGTCGAGGTAACTGTGAAAATGTGAAGTCAGATAAATATGTTATATCTATCCTTCATTTATAGGGATTACAAATCAAAAAGATAAGATACCATAAATAAGTCAGGCCAAAGGTATTAATAAGGTAAAAAGTAGTACATATTAGTTATTCATGCCAGGACGAAACATAGAGATGGAGCAGAATGAAGTATATGAAGCATCCCAGTAATTCACCTCGTAAAAATATAGTCCTCAAAACTAAAAGGAGTAAAAAAGATAAGAACAGTTAGACCAACAGCAACTTAAAGGTTATTTATAATGTTTTAGCAACACATTTGGCTTAGACAGCTGGCATAATGGCTAGCTTGATTTGCAGTAAACTGATTGTAGAAAAAGTCAAAATCACAAATCAACAATTCCAAAACAGTTATAATAAAAACTACTTTGTTTCCAAGGCCAAGAACAAACTTTGAAGCTCAACTTTTAAGCCAAAGCAGACAGGAAGTCCTCAAAGTGCTTTTTTCCTGAAGAAGAAAGCAATATGAACATCCACAGTTCCATGACCACTGGACAAAATCCGTCTCGGATTCACGAGATGGACCATCTTACTTTGGTCAAAACTTTTTTGTTTATTCACCGTAACTAAATGTGTGCTGACACATTGTTGTGTTATGAAAGCACAGACTGAAGGGTAAAAAGCTCACCTTGCTGCCCTGTTGTTGTCTTCCATAAATTAGACAATGTAGGGTTTTATAGTCGCTCCTCTCCTGTAGCGCTCTGCCTCGATGTTTATTACCCCTCTGGTATTGATATTAAAATGCAGGAGGGGCCTGATGCATTTTTCTGTCATCTCTCTTTCTGACTTTAATAATACCATAAAGCTTCCTACTGTGGACAGAGGGAGAGAGAGAGAAGGAAGGCGAGGGGGAGCTGAATAAATTATGAAAAAGAGGTTAATATATGGTATTGGTATATATCACATCCAAACTAAGCCAGATCCCCTTTCAGTTTTAAACATTCAGCCTTTTAAAGGCAGGAGTCAAGTAGGGTCAGATCCATCTCATTTCACTGCTGCGTTCCCTCCCCCCTTCCATGTGGACGCTCATCCAAACATCCCATCTCACCGTCGGTGTGTCGGGATGCTGGTTGTACTAAGGAGACTGACGCTTTACGACGCTGCCAGTCGGCCTGTGTTCAACCAAAAGAAACAAAAAAAGTGTTTTTGTATTTGCGAGTTTCTGTCTGATCCAATCAATATATGATGTTGGTTTGTGCATGTGTAGTGTTGTTTTTTTTAATGACTGAAGGATCTTTGATTTTAGCAAATGGGAAGTCCATCTGTGCACAGCAGAGATTGCAGAAGTGTGGACAGGAGAGAGGATCAATAACCTCCTATCAACTGCATTTAGGCCTTGATAACAGCACTATTTTAATTTGACACAAATCTGACCTTTACGTCGTCTCTTCTCTTCTGTTTCTTGTCTTTTGTGTTCTGGTCTCACCCTGCGTCCTCCAGAGTTAGCATGTAGCTTACAGGAAGTGCAGGGGATGAAGTTGGAGGAGATCCGGCACTTGTCAGTCACATGGTTTTAATTCACTCAGCTGTCATGGAGGTGGGAAGATCCACTGTTCGCTTTCCACAAGAAATCTTGAGTTGTAAAGGGCTGTATATGTTTTTGTTTAAATGCTATTTGTTAGTAACAACAGGGGCTTCTTCGGGTCATATGGCAGCGTAGCGTGTAATTATTTAACAACAGTTAAGTTGTATGAATGAATGAATTTCGTTTAAATGACGGTGACAAAGATTACTTGGCAGGCCCATTTTAATTGAGATGTATGTTGTGTCATGGTCAGTCCTCAGAGAATTATAATGCAAAATGAATTAGATATGCTCTTTAAATTAAGGTTTCCTCTGGGAGACTGTCAGACCCTCAACTCAACAAGGCCCTGAAGGAAGAGCTGCTGACAAAAACGTACTTAAAGGGTTTCAGGTCAATGGGCACCATGACATTTCTCTCTCACAAAGGAACAAGTCATTATCAATACATTCCATGCAAGGTTTTTGTAATTGTGATCCATTCATTTGCTTTCCAGACTTATCTGTTGGTGGCATGCGGACAGGGTAACACTTTGGGCAGGTGCCAGTGAATCGCAGGACACTGGATGAAACGGGATGATATATCTGAATTATACCTTCGCTGCCCAGAGAGATTCCAGAGTTAGTCAGTGCACGGTTTGATTTACTACTACTATTACTGCAACAACTACTACTACTACTAATAGCCTAATAATAATAATAATGATACAATTGGCAATTTAATGCAACCTTTACAAGCCTCACCGTTGTGTCATAAAAGTGATAAAACACCTCTCTCAGGTCACTTTAAAAAAAACTCAATCAAGCTCTTCATCAGGCATGCTTGGCTGGACCTTTGTACAAGTTGTTTGAGTCAAATGAGCCCATTACCGCCTCGCCTTAGCACAACAGGGTCAGGTTCAATCAGGGAATTGGAAAATATCATTTCTGAAGGGAATAGATTTCGTTTGTTCAACCAATCTCTTCTACTAATTACCCAAATGGACAGGAGCTGTCAGGAGACAATAACTATTCCCTAATAGAATTTGCCCCCCAAGTGCAATTTAATTTTCTCCTCCGTGCTCCCTCCTAAGGTTTCCCCCTCGCTTTCTGCCTCTCTCTCTCTGTTCCTCTCCTGCTTTCGGACCAAATGGTGAGCGACACGGTGCCATCGCTACCTAATGTCGTTTTGTCAGTGGATGCGGGAGAGATTGCTGACTGACTGCTCTGCTGTTTCGCTGCGAGCTTCAGCTCATCCTGCTGAGAACGACAATCCGGGAGCATGGAGGAGAAGAAGAGGAGGAGGAGGAGGACGAAGAGGAGGAGGAGACAGTCTGCCCCAATATCACCGGCGAGCTGCGGTGATTAGGTAGGTCTGCACGGTGGTGTTATTTACTCATCAGCACAGAGGGAAGTTAAGGTTCTCTAAAAATAGGCATTTTCTCTGAAGATACAATGTTTGTATTGATCACCATCGTTACAGGGAAGTGCTGCTGCGACGTACTGTTGTCTCCATTTGCTCGTGTGCTCATTTGATATTTGATTTTGTTTGTGTGGGTGTGATTGTAAAATTGGAAATGACGTTACCAGATGAATGCACGAATCCTGTATTTGCACACATAAACAACATAATAAATGAAATCCATTAAGTGATGTTTTGGCTCGTGATAAACCAGGCCTGCCTGCTGCAGAGTTACAGTATATGTGACCGTACAGGGTGACACACACACACACCTGCGTTATAGATGCCTGCTCTTCCTGCACAGATGGACGTGCTTCTGTATTTCTGACTCCCTGCTCAGTAAGATGGATCTGTGAGTCTCAGATGTCAATGAACTCGTCCACTGAAATATTAGATCTAATTAGAGGTGGCGGGGTCAATGGCGGTAGCAAAGGAGTCACCCTCTGCGTGAATTATTGCCCGAGAGCTGCTTCCTCTGCCGCTTTTTATCCCTCTTACACCTACATATGGACGAAGATCAGTCATTTCACATATCTCAGAAAGTGCATCATTTGAATGATCTGATGATCTTTCTTTCATTTCTTGTGTTTGAGTGCATTGTTTAAGAATAGAAATGCATTGGTATTAAGCTGAATGTAATGTATGCGTGAGAGCCTAGCAGGAAACAATTGGACGTAATTATTTTAATATAATAAATATATATTTTGCAGTCTAATTCTTAATATATAACTCACCTTTTAAATATCTGCTGTCATCTTGTGCAGTAAAAATATTCCCTGAAACCACTTTCAGATGTGCATTGTTTTGCAATTCATTTTGTCATTCCCACGTGTGTTTTTTTTTGCCATCTCATTTAACGATGAAAAAACGCCATTTAGTGTCCCACTAAACCAGATGTGCGCGCTCACATCTTTTCTCTTTCTGCATTTTGCATCCGTCAATTATTCTAATTGTGTTGCCCTTTGCTGACAGGTTAAGAGCATTTTTATCTGCATTGTTTTCCAGGGCAGCTAAAGGGGTCTCGATACCAACAATCAGAGTAATTGAATAGTTGAATAAATTGAATGATCTTGAGGGGAAAAGTGTATAATGAAAATAAAGTAAGACCAGATGATTCCTTTGCCACACATGCACGGATGAATGGATGGATGGATGGATGGATGGATGGATAGAAGGAAGGAAGGAGGGGACACCTGGTATGGAGGCTGTAGCTTTGAATAGGTTGGATACAAGTCCTGTAATATCCCAGCCTCTTTTTTTAATCAGGTTGATGTGCATTTTCATTTTATTAAATTACATTTAGAACATTAACCACACAAGCAAACGGCTTATGGGATTGTGGCTCCCTCCAGTATATAAATGACGTGCGACAATAGAATAAACAGTCCGTATTGGAAATATACGAGAAAACATGGGATGATAAATCAGCGTAATGTAGCAGAGAAGATGTTACTTGTTTGAATTAGACACACGCGAAATCTAATTTATTTTCAAAATGCAGAAATCTGAGTTTCCAACACGACACTCACTTTTGAAAAAAAAATGCATATATATATATATATATATATATATATGCATTTGGTGGAAATATTTTTTTCCACGACAAAAAACATTTTCTAAATATTTTTTTTTGAGGTTGACTTATTCTAGAGCCTCTGTTTATCAATACATATAATTGTGTTGAATTGATACAATGATAATATAACTATAATGATAATTACAACATTTAAAGCGATGGGAAACCACCGATATTAAATCACATTAAGATTAAACTGAATACAATCAAATAACATAAAACCTATAATTTCTTGTTCAAAATGAACTCAGCGGTGTTGTTGTAGTAAAGCCTGTATCCAGATGTGTCGGTGCAGATGTGGTGTGAGCTGCACACATTCACCGGGGACCTGCAGACGGTCAACTCTCTGTTGATGGAGACAACCTGCGTTGGTTTGGAGGCGGACCGGCGGGAAAGCGCCACTGTGCTTTTCTTTCCACGCTTGAAGTAAATTGGAAGCGAAGATTGAGTTCATCTAGCTTGAACTAGCGGGCCTCCGGGGGGAATATCTTATCCGGGAGAGCAGTCTCAGACGATGGGGTTTGAAATGAACAGTGTCAGGAGGACTGCGCCCAGACTCCTAATCCCACCTGTCACTGAGAGGGATCCAGCTGCACGGGCACACTGCCGGGGAAGAGTACAGCTCGTGAAGGTGCTGTGAATTGGACTCAGACGTGTGACAACGTCCCTTCTGTGGTGTGGTTTCACTTTTGCTCGTATAGCTGTAAATAGTGACAACCCGGTGTGCCATCTTTTCACCCTGAAAGGATATTTAAACTGGTATAAGAGCTGTTTTTTAAGGGAAAACGAATGAATCTTTTTGCGGAAATATTAATAATTTGATTTAATGTTGACAGCTTACCTGCATGCAGGTTTTATATGAATATGCCCATCTCAACCTAAATACGCATTCAAGCTCAATGAAAGAAGAAAATAATAATTCAATTGTCTTCATCACCATCGCATATTTTGTTTAAGCCTGCAGACTCTCTCTGGATGAGCAGCAGAGGAATCTGCAAGGACAACTTTGCCCTTTTCTTTATAAAGTGTCTTATTGTTCCTGAGCTAAAAGCGAACTATTCCTCACATTCCTGGCTGCATTATGACTTCCTCCTTCTTCCCAGGAGGAGGCTAGCTGGCCCGGGGCCCCTCCAGGAGCCACTGCAGTGAGCTATTTATGGTCTCCACAAGGAACAAGGTCCCGCCTCTCTTGAGACATTTTCATATATACCATGTTAGACGCCTCTCCTCTCCTTTCTCCTCCTCGCTTGTACACCTATGGACGACGCTTTTCGCCGTGGGGGCCTCCTCTTCCTGCGCTCCCATTGGCCCCCGGTTGAGCCTCTGCCGCGGTGACGTCAGAGCCCGCCGCCCCTGCAGCGCTGAACGGACCGAGCAGCCTGTCTGATTCACTCCAAAAACAGCTCGGCACGGCACGGCACGGACATCAACCCGGGAATTAGGGATAGAGGCTTGTCGGGACAGCGAGGAGAGCTCACCCTTCGGAGAGGAGAGAGGCCTCGACATCAGCACCATCATACTTTTTTTTTTTTTTCTCCAGAAGACAGGACGGGGGAGTGTGCCCACCGTGTTGCGGGTGTATGTGCATGCGTTTGCCTCCCGGTTTGGATCACGATGATGCAAAGTGCGGCGGTCCTACCGACAGAGAGTCCCGTGAAGAGTTTACCGGAGATTCTCGGAGTGCCACTGCAACGTAAGACATTTTTTTTAATACCCTCCTCGATTATCAATCATGGAAACCGGTTGGTGAGTGCAACCTTTCGCTGTAGGGAGAGAGGGGTTCAGGAACAGTAACTCGGCAGATGATGAGGAGAGCAGGCTGAACCTCTCTGTCTTAGATTGTCACGTACAGGCCAATGATGTGTCATGCTGCTTATATTTCAACGAGCATATGATCTTAAATAATACAGCGTATTTGGCCTCAATGCCAAGCAACCGCCATCCCGCATGTCCAATGAATCTCTACGGCCTAGACTGTAGTCTGCAATAGGATGCAACAGTTAGTGCAGACGATGTCACTTTGGTGTTTTTATCATCCCATCCTTAGGATGAAAAAAATAAAAAAAGATAATTTCTGTTATTTAAAGCAACAGTATTTCATTTCCCAGTTTGGCCTCAAACTTTGCCTCTCCCCCGTCAGGTTGTTGGGCTCACACTGAGCCCTCCCAGGCAGCTGTTAATTTGTAAACGAGACTGCACGGTCAAGAGATCAGACGCAGTTGTCATCACCCATCAGACGAATACACACTGACTTTGATTGACACTCATTACTATGTCAAATAAAACGCCGGATACGCTTTCTTTAGTCTTTGACAATTAAGGATGGTTTAAATAGTATTATAGTTCGTTTGAGTCATTATTTATTCGGGATGGGACCAAATGTTTATTACAGTTATTTTTCAGCATCTTCTTGCGTTTTCAACCTTCCAGCATCAAAGGCGAGAATTACTTTACATCTGTTCGTCCCGGCGTGTTAATCTGTCTCAGGCCCTTTATAATCTGATCGTGCAATCAAGATAGAAATGCAACGGGATACATCTCTGCTCTGACCTAATTATTTATAGGCGAGTTAGTCAAATGTACAGATGGACTTATGCTCTAATAGGCTACCTCCTGAAACCAAAAACCAAAATGGGATAATACGGTGTGATAATTAAAACACTGATGATAAAACGTTTGGTCAAAAACGTATGAAACTGTAAATATTTAGGGTACATTCTAACACACACTTGGCTTCAAAATAACCAAAAATACAAAATAACATTATTTTCTTTGTATCATCTTTAGTGTAAAAAAAACACAAATGCAAAGATGCCGATGGAATAGACTATGGTGTCATTTTAGAGACCCAGCCTGTTCAGCAAAGTATTTAAACCTGACCACAGTAAAAAAGAGATATATGTGGTCGGCTTATGCTCTTTAATTTTATAAATCGAGGCAGATTAAAAGATTGGATAAAGATCCTGCTACTCAGCCCCCTGCAGTATACCAGCATGCATTCTGGATTTAAACCTGGATTATTCCAGGAATAAAAGCAACAGCGAATTTATCCAAACATTTATTTCATATCGTGGACAGAATGCTTTGCTGACTCAGGGCAATTACACCCAAACCGTAACCTGCAGGCTATTAGTCTGGGATATAAAGTGTTTGTTTCACGTTTAATTACCACAAATCATCTGACAATTGAAAGTACGAGAAGCTGCCAGACTGCACTTATATAGAAAAAAACCCTGTTAAAGTAGTTTGGCGATTGGACATCTCTGAAGAGGTGATGAGACTGAATTGCAGCATGAATTGAAAGAGTGAAGAGTGGTAGCAACAGATAGGAAGACCTCTTGAATACACGAAGTGTACTCTCTCTCTCTCTATCTCTCTCTCTCTCTCACACACACACACACCCACACACACACACACACACCCACACACACACACATACACACACACGCACGCACTGAAGCTGGAAGGTGGACCTTCTGTCTTTGCCAAGATCGTGCTGCTTTCCTTTCAGCACCACTTTTCTCGGTCCCGCTCAGCTTCATCCATTCACCACCGATCTCTAGATATTTAAAATGCCTCTAATTTCTCCTCATTAAAAAAAACCGCAACAGACACATTCAGGTGTAATTCTTCCTAAATCATTTCTTCTGTCATCCCTGTATACGAATTCACTGTCGAGTTAAAAACATAGCCAGTCAGCCTGTAATGCTGCCTGTGAGTGCGCAGGCATGTTGCTCTATTATTTATTGAGTAGGCCCTACATCGCTTTTATTTTATGGTTTTCACCGAAAAGTTACATATCTTCTTCTTCATAAACAAGTGAGCATATCAAAACTATTAATCTGTTTTTTAAACGTATTCCATTTTAGTCACAAATGTCTCAAATTAAAGCTGCAAAAAATAGCAGAATTGATTGGTTTATTTTGTTCCCTCCATGTTGCACAACCCGATAGCTTGGTCTTGTTTTTTGCAGACTGTGTTGTGCTGAACTGAGATTTAAGCACGCGGCATCTTCGCTCCAGACGGTTATTGTTGAGGATGTTTTGTCTCGAGAGTGAACAGCCTCGCTGCTGCAGCTCGTGTGTGTTTATCCTGTTTTTTTTAGACGGTCCATTTCTCCTCGATATTGATTTTTCATTATCGGATATCATGTGGATGTTTGACTAAGTGAAGCTGCGAATGAAAAAAAAAACCCAGTAAAGAATTACACTGCTATTTATTTACAGAATGATTTATTAAGAAGATTAACGGTTATTGTTTAGATGATAGGACGAGGCCCTTTTCACAATATACATCTCGCTGTAAAACAGAATGAGAAGGATACGTTTAATTATGATTAAATACACAAATTCACCGTCACAAAATAAACCAGTTTCTGTGCAAATGTATCTATATCATGGCATTTAGCTGTTTATAAAAAGGTACAGCTTTGGGAGGAAATGTGCTTTTTGTTATTGAAAAATATTTGACTCATTTATTTATGAATGCAATTTATTTTTAGAAATGTGCAGTTTACTGTAGTAGATCATCGATATCGCTGCAGAATTAGGTGATATTAAGGAATTGGAGGGTCAAATACGATATGATCCCGTTTGTGTGTGTGCACATGTATTCTGGTGCTGCTTGTGTTTTTTTACAACCACAAAAATGATAGTGAACCTCGTCTGGAGCCTGATTTGCCACCATAGATCATAGAAAACCACCCAGAGACATGATCAGGCTTCAGAGGAACAACAATAATACAAATCAATATGATCGTCAAAAAGTATACGTCTATCTCTGCTCGGAGTTCAGCACCTTGGACAGTGACGGGAACATTTCACAAACCGCTTCAATTTTTTTTGCCTTAATTAAAAAATAATAAAAAATGAAATTCATAACGCAATTCAAAATGATTAAAAATAAGAAACAAAACTGGGTCCAAAATGAATAAATGAAAAAGTAAATAAATAATAGGACCAAAATAATATATATTGGTCAGACAATTACAATTCTTGCCTTACAGACGCTTTTGAATATACATATTTAATCTTCGAATATCATAATGCATATATAATATAATAATAATAATGTATTGTAATAATACATATAATTCAAATGTCACATGATCGGTAAAATATATATTGTTCGTTTGAAGACTGAACTGCATGCTGGGACATGATGAAGGTGAAAGGCCACCTGTTTTTAGCGCAAAGTTCATATTTAAATTCATGTCAGCATGTATGCAATTGTTATCGTTTTAACAACGCTTACCTGAAAACGTTTATTTCTATGGATATCAGGGATTGCTCACATCACCTCTTTGCTCACTGTGAATGTGACCTCCTGTTTCCCCCGCAGAGATTCCTCAGTGTGCCGGCTGTAGTCAACACATCCTGGACAAGTTCATCCTGAAGGTGCTGGACCGACACTGGCACTCCAAGTGCCTCAAGTGCGTCGACTGTCAGACTCCGCTGGCGGACAAATGTTTCTCCCGAGCAGGGAGCGTCTACTGCAAGGAGGATTTCTTCAAGTCAGTTTCTTATTTATTTTGCCTCATTGATGAAGTTATATATATATAGATGCTATAGCTTAGTGTTTTACCCAAGAAAGTACAATTTAGGTCACTTTTCACCACTGATTGGGATGAAAAGTGACTGGCGGAAATTAATCTTTGAATAGTTCGTCTATATTTAATAACCTACTGGTTTATATTCTAGCTGGTAAAAAAAAAAATGCAAGCAACATTAGCTTAAATTGTGAGCCTAACGTTAACGTTTTCTTACTTGTTTCAAAGTTGCTATTAGCACATTAGCATAAATCCAGTGTTTTTTATATCTTGTATTTTTACCTTTTATTATTTATGAACCAAAACATTCTAAGGGAGAGCTAGTTTATAATATTTTAGGTGCTGGACAATATTTGTTGATTTATTTCAGAATTCAAATATGTGCTGATGGTATTTATAATATTCATAGTTAGCCTTCATAATTTGCTGTTTTGTCTTGCTGACGTGATGAGAGGAAGCAACATTTCAAAACAAGAGCTCAAAACTCCTTTTCTGTTTCTATATATATTTTTTGCCATTATCCCTTTTCCTTTCCCTTTCTGTCTTTCAAACGATTTGATTTCTGAGGCATTACAGAAGAAAATTGAGTTTGACTTTTATCCAAAACAGGATCAGCAGATCGGGGCTTTTTACTAAATCATGTTTGAAAGGTTTTAATGCTCAAAGCTTGAATGAGACCTAAAGAGCTCTGGAGTCTTCACTGAGCGCTAACGGTGTTAGCCGACCCCGGGGGACAGCAGGGGGACGTATGTTCTGTACTGCCAGGGACACGTGTGTGCCTGCAGAACACGCACATACATAAACACAGGAATACACACACACGCACACACACACACACACATGTAGACACACAGATTCAGTGGTGTATGGTTCCCAGTAGTGATTTGGATGCTTCACCTTGCTCTTTTTATTCCTGGGGGTTGGTTGTGTGATATAAAGCCTCTCCTGAGTCAGTGTTTTATTGGTTCTCCTCAGGGTGTGTTTACTGTGAGCAGCCCTCCTCCTCCTCTTTTTCCTCTTCCTCCTCCTTAGCTCTCTGTACTTCATCTGCAAACACATAAACATGCAAACATGCACACGCATACGCGCACACACACACACACACACACACACACACACACACACACACACACAC